AAACCCAAGGTTTGATTGGGAAAAATGGGTCCCCCCCCCTTCCGAGCCAAACCCCTCGGCCCCCAAACCCTTTTCCCAAAGGGAACCCGGGCCCGGGGGGGAAGGGACTGGGAAAACCCCAAAGATAAACCCCTAAAAAAACAAGGGGCCCCCCCCCAGGGGTTCTAAAGTTTTTTTGCGATGACTTTTTGGGGGGGTTAAAAATCCCCCCGGCTTTTAAAGGTTTTAAGGTTTTATTCCCAACTTTAAAATTTCCCTTTAAATTTTAAAACCCCCTTTTCCCATTCAGGGGGGGTTTGGGCCTTTTTTTTTTTGTTTAAAACCCCCCACCCCAAATTTTTTTTTCCTTTTTTTTGTCAATTTTTTTTTTTTTTGGGCCCGTTTTTTTTTTTTTTTCTTTTTTTTTTTTTAAAAACCCCCTTAATTTTCTTTTTTTTTTTTGTTATTTTTCCGGTTTTTTAAATTTTTTTTTTTTTTGGGGGTTTAAAAACTTGATTTTTTGTTTTTTTTTTTTTTTCCCCTTTTTAAAAATTTTTTTTTTACCCCCCTTTTTTTTTAAAACCCCCTTTTTTTTTTTTCCCTTTTTTTACCCCTTTTCCCCCCTTTTAAAAAAAGTTTTTTTGGGGGGTTTTCCCCGGTTTTTTTTTTTTTCCCCCTTTTTTGGGGGGCCCCGGTTTCCCCCAACCCCAAAAAAAATCCCCGGGTTTTTTCTTTTTTTTTTTTTTGGGTTTTTTGTTTTTTTTTGTTATTTTTTTTTTTCCTTTTTTTTCCCTTCTTTTTTTGTCTTTTCCCCCTTTTACCCCCTTTTTTTTTTTCCTTTTATTCGACTCCTCTATTAAAAAATTTTAGAACACCAAATGGGGGAGTCTTTGGTCTCTGAACTTTTGGGTTTGTGGGAAAACCCTTTATCCCCCACGAGTGAAACACTTTTCCCCTTTTTTTTTAATTTTGGGTTTCCTTAAAGTTGGATACAAAATTTGCCCCTTTTCTGCAATCCCCCTGGGAAAACTGATCGTTCATGCTATTTTCGGAAGAAGTTTTTTCCCCTAGGTTTTTAAACCCTTTTTCTTTTTCTTAAAAAATGAAAATTTTGGGCAACGAGGGGTTTTGCTCATATTTTTTTCCTTTTTTCCCCCCAAAAAATGGGGGAACACGTTCGGGTTGGATTTTTATGAAAACCTTCGGGGGTGGGTTTTAAACCCCCGGTTTGTATGCGGGAAGTTTTCATAATTCTTGTTATTTCCCCTCCTTTTCCTGAATCCCCCGTAAGTTTTAGTTTTTCCCTTTTCATCGATTAGTTTGGTTTTTTGGTCTGAAGGTTTCCCCAAAAAGGTTGTTCCCCTTTTTATTTTCCCTAAAAAATTCCCCCCCCCCCACCCCTTAGAGGACGGACTTTAACTGACTGCCCACGTTTTTTTCCCCATTATAAAGGTTTTCCGTACAAAATTTAAAGGGAATCGCTTAAAAATTTTTTCCCCCGTCCTCCCTGCCCAAATTCTAGTTTTTCCCCCAAAATTTTGAAAATTTATCGACTTCAAAAAAAGGGTTTTAAACACTTAACAGCCCCCAAGGGGGTTGAAAAATATATCATCTGAAAATCATTTGAAAGTCGCGTTTCCTTTTAAAAATTTGGGTTTTTCCTGTTATTTTCCCGCCATGTTTGGGGGTTGGGGTTTTGTTGTAATTTTTGTCGATATATTTTTACCCTTTATGATTTTTTGGGTATTACCCAGTTTAAATTTTTTTATTAACCCCCCCCGGGAAAATGAAAAATTGCTAATAAGCCCCTTAATTTACGTTTTTGAATATTAGTTTTATTTAAAGGTGGTTTGTACCCGTTTCCAATTTCAATACCCCCCATTTGCCCTAACGCAGCGTTTTTTTAATTTTGCCCCGTTCATTTTTCCCTCACCCTAAACTGTTTCCCAGCCCCTCCCTTTTTAAAAAAAACCATCCCCAAAGATGATTGTGCCCCCCAACAGGCTTCACCATAGGGTTTGGTTCCGGGTCCCTTTCCTCCAAAACGTGAACGTTGGCTTTCCCAGGCCAAAAAGTTCCATCTTGGTTTCATCAGACCAGAGAATATTGTTTCTCATGGTCAGAGGCCTTTAGATGCCTTTTGGCAAACTCCAAGTGGGCAGTCATGTTGACCTTTTACTGAGGAGTGGCTTCAGTCTGGCACTCTAGCATACATGCATGAATGGTGGAGTGCTGCAGAGATGGTTGTCCTTATGGAAGGTTCTCCCATTCCACAGAGGAACTCTGGAGCTCTGTCAGAGTGGACTATTGGGTTCTTGGTCACCTCCCCCTGACCCAAGGCCCTTCTCCCCGATTGCTCAGTTTGGCCGGGCGACAGCTCAAGGAAGAGTCTTGGTGGTTCCAAACTTCTTCATTTAAGATGATGGAGGCAACTGTGTTCTTGGGACCTTCAATGCTGCAGACATTTTTGGTACCGTTCCTCAGATCTGTGCCTCGACACAATCCTGTCTTTGAGCTCTATGGACAATTCTCGACCTCATGGTTTGGTTTTTGCTCTGACCTGAACTGTCAACTGTTGGAAAGGTGTGTGCCTTTCCAAATCATGTCCAATCAATTGAATTTACAGAGGTGGACTCATATCAATTGTTTAGAAACATCTCAAGGATGATCAATGGGAAAAGGATTGCACTGAGCTCAATGTCGAGTGTCATAGCAAAGGGTCTGAATACTTATATAAATAAGGTATTTCTGTTTTTTATTTTTAATACATTTGCTAAAATTTATAAAAACCTGTTTTCGCTTTGCCATTATGGGGTATTGTGTGTAGATGAATGAGGAAAACAATTTATTTAAAACATTTTAGAATAAGGCTGTAACGTAACAAAATGTGGAAAAAGGGAAGGGGTCTGAATCAACTGTGTATGTATAGAGTACTAGTCAAAAGTTGACACACCTACTTATTCAAGGGTTTTCCTTTTTTTTTCCTATTTTCTACATTGTAGAATAATACTGAAGATATCAAAACTATGAAATAACACATGTGGAATCATGTTGTAACCAAAAAAGTGTTAAACAAATCAAAATATATTTTATATTTGAGATTCTTCAAAGTATCCACCCTTTGCCTTGATGACAGCTTTGCACACTCTTGGCATTCTCTCAACCAGCTTCACCTGGAATGCTTTTCCAACAGTCTTGAAGGAGTTCCCACATATGCTGAGCACTTATTGGCTGCTTTTCCTTCCCTCTGCGGTCCAACTCATCCCAAACCATCTCAATTGGGTTGAGGTCGGGTGATTGTGGAGGCTAGGTCATCTGATGCAGCACTCCATCACTCTCTTTCTTGGTCAGATAGCCCATATACAGCCTGGAGGTGTGTTGGGTCATTGTCCTGTTGAAAAACAAATGATAGTCCCACTAAGTGCAAACCAGATAGGATGGCGTATCGCTGCAGAATGCTGTGGTAGCCATGCTGGTTAAGTGTGCCTTGAATTCTAAATTAATCACTGACAGTGTCACCAGCAAAGCACCCCCACACAATCACACCTCCTCCTCCATGCTTCATGGTGGGAACCACACATGCGGAGATAATCCGTTCACCTACTCTGCGTCTCACAAAGACACAGCGATTGGAACCCAAAATCTTACATTTGGACTCATGAGACCAAAGGACAGATTTCCACCAGTCTAAATTCCATTGCTCATGTTTCTTGGCCCAAGCAAGTCTCTTCTTCTTATTGGTATCCTTTAGTAGTGGTTTCTTTGCAGAAATTCGACCATGAAGGCCTGATTCACGCAGTCTCCTCTGAACAGTTGATGTTGAGATGTGTCTGTTACTTGAACTCTGTGAAGCATTTTTTGGGCTGCAATTTCTGAGGCTGGTAACTCTAAAGAACTTATCCTCTGCAGCAGAGGTAACTCTGGGTCTTCTTATCCTGTGGCGATCCTCATGAGAGCCAGTTTCATCATAACGCTTGATGGTTTTTGCAACTGCACTTGAAGAAACGTTCAAAGTTCTTGACATTTTCTGTATTGACTGACCTTCATGTCTTAAAGTAATGATGGACTGTCATTTCTCTTTGCTTATTTGAGCTGTTCTTGCCATAATATGGACTTGGTCTTTTACCTAATAGGGCTATCTTCTGTAAACCACCCCTACGTTGTCACAACACAACTGATTGGCTCAAACGCATTAAGAAGGAAAGAAATCCCACAACTTAACTTTTAAGAAGGCACACCTAATAATTGGAAGAAGGCACACCTTAATTGAAATGCATTCCAGGTGACTACCTCATGAAGCTGGTTGAGAGAATGCCAAGAGTGTGAAAAGCTGTCATCAAGGCAAAGGGTGGCTGCTTTGAAGAATCTCAAATATAAAATATATTTTGATTTGTTTAACACTTTTTTGGTTACTACATGATTCCATATGTGTTATTTCATAATTTGATGTCTTCAGTATTATTCTACAATGTAGAAAATAGGAAAAATAAAGGAACACCCTTGAATGAGTAGGTGTGTCCAAACTTTTGACTGGTACTGTATATAGTTTCAAAGATATCCCTAAGACATTTTACAGAAATCTATATTATACAATTGTAATTAATTGCTAGTAGTTAGTCATCAATATGTTAGCCCCAAAATGGACCAAACCGAATTTCCCCTTTTTAATGTACACTCTTTAGAATTCTCCTCTGCGTCATTTATAAAGTGCAAGCGTTTGAGAAGCACTGAGTATATGGTGCCTTTAACCTCAAACAAGGAAGATGATCAGCTTGTGACGCTCTACTTAGCTCTCAAGATATTATGGCCCTATTCCTGCCCAATTGTTTAAGAAATGGATGAGATTGTTGCTATTTTCAACTTGGTTAATGTCAATCTAGTTTGCATGTTGCTTATTCTGATGTGCTCCATTCAGCTATTTTGATAGTTTGTGTATTAACAGTGAAGCTAATTGTGTGTAGCTTTGGGTGAAATAGTCTGCTATAAGTACAGCTTTGTTCTTGTGTTTTTAACCCACAGAGTCAGTCTCCAATGTGGTGATAACTCCCAACAACACAGACTTAGTGGAGTTCAACAGCTCTGTCAGTCTGTCCTGCTCCTCCTCTGGCTCCTCCCCCTTCTCTTACCACTGGCTGAATGGCAGCTCTGAAGTCACAGCCAGTGATGGAGTTCAGCTTGGTGATGGGAACAGCACTCTCACCATAACCAATGTGACTCGGTATAACCAGGGGCTGTTCATGTGCGTAGTGTCCAACCCCGTCAGCTTTGACAAAGAGACACTAATACTTTACATCAGCTGTGAGTGTCTAACTCTTAAATTATTTGCATGTTGATTGAGCCACTTAGATAAACTTTGATAGTTAACTTTCATGTAGTTTGTGTAGTCACCTCTTGACTTAGGTCCCCGGAAACAGCATCTACTTAAAAATAACAAGGCTTGATGAATATGGTGCTTTTGGTTAAAGGATTGGTTCACTATTTATTTACCAAATCTCAATTTTTTATGTAAATGGCATGTTATAGAAGGGTCCTGACACTTTTTTAGTGATTTTACTTGGTTTTGATAAACCATCCTCACCCGCAATAGGCTTCCTCATTGCTCATTTTGTAGTATGGGTGCTACAGAAAAACATGAACATAGGCTCCAAAAACACCCAAATACATCCTTTTAGAAACAGCACTGCTCTCAGTATAGTGATGCAGGTCTTTAGATATTGTTCACGCAAATTGTGTAATTTTGAACTTTATCCTCAACATTTTTGTAACAGACGCAGGGAGTCAGGAAGCAGGTGCAGTTAGTTGATAACAAAATAGTGTTATATAAAGGTATGTAATCAAGGGAGTCCAGGTGTGATTGATGATGATGAGATGCAGGTGTGCGTAATGATGTTTGCCAGGTGTGTGTAAAGATGTGTTGCCAGGACCATTGGTTAGTAGACCGGTGACGTTGAGCGCCGGAGCTGGGGAGCGGGAGTGGACGTGACAGTGGGAGTGGACGTGACAGTTATATTCCATTTGGTGCGACTCGAGTGGTTTCCCCCTAACCAGCTGTGCTGCGCAGGCTACACGGACAATCAACACAGCTGGTAGGGGGAAATAGCTTGAGTCGCACAAAGTAGAATATAACGTTACGGATAAAGTTAGAAATTACACAATTTCATGTGTACAACACCCTTCTTTAGCATGCAATTTACATCAAAAATAGAGATTTGTTTCAAAATATTGAACCAATCCTTTAAGGCCATGAAGATGTTTTCCTTGCTTCATATACTGTATCATTAACACATCATGCTTTAAAAAGATGTTCCCATTCTGTGGCATGTCTCAATGGTCTTCATGGGTCATTTTAAAATGTTTTGTCCCTAAGCTGTCATCACTATTGTGCATGCTGCGTGACTGATTGTGTGGTTGATGGTGATGGGATACTGAAGCTAGATACACACTATTGATAACATGGACCCATAGTAATAATAAATGGTCCAATGGGTCATTAACATGGTCTAGAAAGTATCTGTTGGTCAACTTCCCCTCTTTAATGGTGCCGTTTTTACATGGACCATTCATTACAGATGGTCCAGAAAACACAAGAATGAAGGTGACCCCTCCAGATGTACTGTATGGCTCAGGGTCAGACCTCACTCTGTCCTGCTCCTCTGAGTCCAGTCCTCCTGCCCAGTTTCAGTGGGCTCTGAATGGAACGCTGCTGTCCAATAAGGGACCAGAACTCAGGCTGGATAATATCCAGGCCAGTCAGAGCGGTAGCTACAGCTGCTGGGCCCATAATACCAGAACCCTGAGGTACCAGACACCTGAGCCCTCTGACATCACTGTGCTGGGTAAGTGGTAGAGAGGAGAAGGAGACAGTCATGGGTGGAAAGGGAAACTGGTTCTGGGGTGTCATGGTGAAACTGACTGAAATGCTTGAGGTTTGTGCTCAAGTCCTATCCAAGATGTTTGAGTACACCTTTTCCTTTTCCTTCCATTTTGTAAAAGCGTTTGGACGGGACACCTTCTTCTGTATGTAGCAGAGAAGGCCCTTTCAACAGAGATGGTGTGTTTAACACATGAGAAGAGAGCTCTGAGTGGCACATTTGACAAAGCAGATAGCATTGGATTATTAGTTGATACTGTAGTGTATACCGTATATCACAGGAGGCTGCTGAGGGGAGGATGGCTAATAATAATGATTGGAACGGAGCGAATGGAAGGGCATCAAACACCTGGAAACCATGTGTTTGATGTATTTGATACCATTCCACTTTTTCCGCTCCAGCCATTATCCCAAGCCTGTACTACCCAATTAAGCTGCCACCAACCTCCTGTGCTGTACACCCAAGCCACCCAACATGATTACCTTTAACCTTAATTTTTTTTTAAATAACTGTTTGACAATATATTACATAACGGGTTGTTTGGATCCAGGAAGCTGATTGGTTGATATACCATTACGTATTAATCTTATAATTCCACTGTCCCCCCGCCCAGGAAGGAAATTGATAAACTTCATCTGCCTTTTGAAAAAAGCATCTACACATAATTTTTTCATGCTACTATTTGGTTTGCAACAGTTGGGGGTTGTACAAATATACCTGCCTGCCTCTACGACCTGTGCAACAATATATCGTTTTACAAATGCTGTATCTCCAGTGGCAGTGGGGTAGCTAGAATGAATGTGAAACGAATAATTCACCATGGAAACTGTAAACAATCAGAATTCCATGAATCCATTAACCAGCACAGGGCGGCCTATGTAGGCCTATTGGATTTTTATTAAATCAAGTAGCAGTGCGTGGGTAAAATCACTGGGGTAGCCAAGCCAGAAAAAAATGCCATATTACAACCTATGTGTTGTGATAAGTTCATATGCCTTGACACCGTGATATATAGGCCTAAGGCTGAGACAATAAGAAGACACACTGGCAGAATAAATTCAACCTCACATTTGTTTAATTACAAAACCGGAGAGCAACCTCTGTCCGGTGAAGTCCACAAAGCATATTGCATGTAACAAACAGTTACATGACCTACAGCATGGTCAAGCAAGTTAATGTTTCCGCCATTTTCGGACTACTAAACAACTATTGATTTAGAACAGAGAGTTACCGCAAGTCCCAAAGAAAACAGGAGCTGCCTCCACTATTCAGCACCAACTTCAACATTTCAACATCATCAAATCACCTATGTTTAGTCTAATACAGTGACAACTAAAATATACCAAAGACAATTTATTCCAATCAACATAAGCTAAATATGATGTGGCTGTCAATGGTTCTATGTGTGTGTGCATGTGTGCATGCAAGTAGAAAAAACATGTTGACTCACCCTACTTATAGAGCAACGCCAATGCCATCCTCCTCTCTTTCATGTTGACGAAACGTTCTATGACACTGTCTTACAGTACACACTTTAATTTTTTGTTGTCCTAGGCTACCTAGCTAAAATGCTTGCTCGCTAGCCTAACTTCCTTTCATGGGCAACTTTAGCTAGTTAACAATAGCCTTCTACATCTACTATAGCTACATATTCCATCCTCTCAGTCCAGGGGCACAATGTATGAATTGGCCAGTATAGAGAATTAAGTAAAACCGACAAGTCCAGATGCAATAATTCAAGTTTTTCTGTTATTATGAGAAATAACAGAGAAATTATGTATTTATCTCGATGCGATGTGAAAGGAGTGAAGCCAAATCTAAACTGGCTTCCCTTGACACTTTTTTTTGGTGCGCCAGGACCATTCTCAGTTGAGCTCACTCAGATTAGCTCAACGCTGATTGGCTATTATTTTATACTTTTTTATCAAGGGAGGCCAAATGCTTGTTGGCTTCCCTTGCATTAAATGCTACGAATGGCAAACTGGCAAATCGTCAATACAGAACTAAGACTGAATCCTACTACACCGGCTCTGACGCTCGTTGGATGTGGCAGGGCTTGCAATCTACAGTGCCTTCGGAAAGTATTCAGACCCCTTGACTTTTTCCACATTTTGTTAGCTTACAGCCTTATTCTAAAATTTATAAACATTGTTTTTGTCCCTCAACAATCTACACACAATACCCTATAATGACAAAGGAAAAACAGGTTTTTAGAGATTATAGCAAAAAAACATTTACATAAGTATTCAGACATTTACTCAGTACTTTGTTGAAGCATATTTGACAGTGATTACAGCATCGAGTCTTCTTGGGTATGAAACTACAAGCTTGGCACACCTGTATTTGAAGAGCTTCTCCCATTCTTCTCTGCAGATCCTCTCAAGCTCTTTCAGGTTGGAGGGGGAGCGTAGCTGCACAGCTATTTTCAGGTCTCTCCAGAGATGTTAGATCGGGTTCAAGTCTGGGCTCTGACTTGGCCACTCAAAGACTTGTCCCGAAGCCACTCCTGCATTGTCTTGGCTGTGTGCTTAGGGTTGTGGTCCTGTTGCAAGGTGAATCTTCACCCCAGTCTGAGGTCCTGAGCACTCTGGAGCAGGTTTTCATCAAGGATCTCTCTGCACTTTGCTCTGTTCATCTTTCCCTCCATCCTGACTAGCCTCCCAGTCCCTGCCGCTGAAAAACATCCCTACAGCATGAAGCTGCAACCACCATGCTTCACAGTAGGCATGGTGCCAGGTTTCCTCCAGATGTGACGCTTGGCATTCAGGCCAAACAGTTCATTCTTAGTTTCATCAGACCGGATAATCTTGTTTCTCATGGTCTGAGAGTCTTTAGGTGCCTTTTGGCAAACTCCAAGCGGGATTTCATCTGCCTTTTACTGAGCAGTGGCTTCCATCTGGCCAATCTACCATAAACGCCTGATTGGTAGAGAACTGCAGAGATGGTTGTCTTCTGGAAGTTTCTTCCATCTCCACAGAATAACTCTAGATCTCTTTCAGAATGACCATCAGGTTCTTGGTTACCTCCCAGACCAAGGCCAGCTTTAGGAAGAGTCTTGGTGGTTCGAAACTTCTTCCATTTAAGAATGATAGAGGACACTGTGTTCTTGGGGACCTTCAATGCTGCAGACATTTCCTGTCACAATCCTGTCTCGGAGCTCTACGGACAATTCCTTCGACCTCATGGCTTGGATTTTGCTTTGACATGCACTGTCCACTGTGGGACCTTAAATAGACAGGTGTGTGCCTTTCCAAATCATGTCCAATCAATTTAATTTACCACAGGTGTCCTCCAATCAAGTTGAAGAAACATCTCAAGGATGATCAATGGAAACAGGATGCACACCTGAGCTCAATTTCGAGTCTCATAGCAAAGGTTCTGAGAACGTACGTAAATAAGGTATTTCTGTTTAAGTAGGGCCGAACACGCCCCCATTCACCAACAAACTATCATGGTCCAAACACACCAAGACAGTCGTGAAGAGTGCACAACAACGCCTTTTCCCCCTCAGGAGACTGAAACCATTTGGCATGGGTCCCCAGATCCTCAAAACGTTATACAGCTGCACCATCGAGAGCATCCTGACCAGTTGCATCACCGCCTGGTATGGCAACTGCTCGGTATCCGATCGTAAGGCGCTACAGAGGGTAGTGCGTATGGCCCAGTACATCACTGGGGCCAAGCGTCCTGCCATCTAGGACCTGGAAGGCCCCAAAAATTGTCAAAGACTCCAGTCATCCAAGTCATAGACTGTTCTCTCTGCAGCCGCACGGCAAAAGAGATACCGGAGACAAGTTCTAGGTCAAAAAGGCTCCTTAAAAGCTTCTACTCCAAGCCATTAGACTGTGAACAATAATAAAAGGCACCCGCGTACTATTTGCATTGACACAATCTCCCCCCCCCCCCCCCCCCCCCCCCCCCCCCCCCCCCCACCCCCCCCGCCCCCCACCCCCCCCCCCCCCCCCCCCCCCCCCCCCCCCCCCCCCCCCCCCCCGCCCTTTGTTTTTACACTGCTACCCATTTGCTGTTTATGTCTATGCATAGTCTCTGTACCCCCGCACATTGACTCGGTACGGTACCCCCTGCACAGAATATAGCCTCGTTATTGTTATTTTATTGTGTTACTTTTTTAAACTTTAGTTTATTTAGTAAATATTTTCTCCAAGACCTCATGGCTTGGTTTTTGCTCTGACATGCCCTGTCAACTGTGGAACCTTACATAGACAGGTGTGTGCCTTTCCAAAATTTACCACAGGTGGACACCAATCAAGTTGTAGAAACATCCCAAGGATGATAAATAGAAACAGGATGCACCTGAGCTCATTTTCGAGTCTCATAGCATAGTGTCTGAAAGCTTATGTAAATAAGGTATTTCATTATTTTAATTTTTTTATACATTTGCAAACATTTCTTAAAACCTGTTTTTGCTTTGTCATTATGGGGTATTGTGTGTACATTGCTGAGGATTATTAAAAAAAAAATCCATTTTAGAATAAGGCTTTAACGTAACAAAATGTGGAAAAAGTTAAGGGTTCTGAATACTTTCCGAAGGCACTGTAGCCTAGAGATCTCTGTTTTAAGCGTCATGCTAATGGCAAGGAAAGTTGGCAGGAGCACAGCGCATTGTTAGGATGCTGGATTGCCCTAAAGTAAATTGATGTTTCGCCAAAATTATATAATTACTCCTGTCTAAATAAAATAATTCAAAATACTTCACCAGGGATCATGACTTAGCCACAGAGGATCATTAGCTTCTTAAAAAAATTGCTTTGGATTGTTTCAAAGCACAAGTGTGTAGGCCTATGACTATTTGGGAAGCCCGCAATTTGGGTAGTGCACATGGCAATAGGCCTATCTGACTGAGTTGTGGCTGTCAGTGAAAAGCGTCTAAAATATGTGTGAAGTTAATGTGTCTTGAGTATAATTTAAAATGTTGCATCAAGAAGAAGGGGAGGGGTGTGTGGCGAAGATATGGTGCGTCTCTCTCCCGAATGCATGCTAATGTAGGAAAGTGCCCATTTGGCAATGTCTTATTTCTGATTATCTTAATTCACCATGTACACCACTAATAAACTGAGCTTCTCAGTCATTTTTTCTTCACCTCACACAAGTCAACGAAGTCAGTTTTTTTAACATCCATTGCGAATGATAGTTCCTCAATATTTGAAAGATCTTTCCAACACTCCCGGCTTCGATAATCACCAAGCCTCGGTTTGAAAGAGCAAAATATCATGATCTGATGATCCCATGTATCCAGTGGAAAGGTCATAAAAAGCAGCTGTCTGTCCCGAGCTCAATGGCTCAGGAAACTCTGAGGGCACGGAATAGGCTAGTTGATACAATGTTGCAAGTTCGCTAGTGACAGCTTCTGGCCGGACCCAGTGATGATTTGATACAACATTGCATTTCACTAGCAATAGCTCAAGTCAAGACAGATAGAAAGGGAGGCAGACAGGCGGAGTAGAGAGATGAATGTGATTGAAAGAACCAGAATTTTAATAAGGATATTTTCCACTGTTTTTATTTGTCGGCTTTAGGCCTATGTATTTTACTTAGTTGACGATTGAGGGAAGTTATAGTCCTACTGCTGCATTGGCCTATAAACTATCTCTGAGTTCTATGCTCTCATGCACTGTTGCAACATTTCTTTAGCCGCCAATGAATCCCAGTGTATCAATGTGTCCATATGGCAGAGGATGGTGCTCTCGCCATTGTTGAATTTTAACTTTTAGATTTTTATCATTTAACTTCAGATCTTTATGATTAACCAGTTGAAAATGATTTTGAGATACAAAACGTTATTATTTAAATGAAACTGTTCCACGAAAATGAGCATATAAAAATAATCATAACTGGCACGCAGATGGTAGAAATGGTAGGATAAATTATAAACTTCCCCAAACTTGAAACCCGCGAGCCTGCCTATGGTCTTTACTATTACACCCATTAACAAAACTGTCAACGTGCAAGCACGCACACACATAGGAGGTCCTCTGAAAAAACGTGCCCGCCTATGGAAATCAAAGGCCCGTCCAACTGATTCGTTCTGGCGCCGGCCCTGGTTGGAATTGTAACTGTAGTCTGGACACTGACTGTATTTCTCACATGTAGGCTGTTGTAATATTAAGTTCTGCAGAATTAAGTGTTCCTCGCAGTAAGATTAAGATGAAAACATCATGACTGGTTGTGTTTATATATCATCTACATTATAATCTAGACTACAATCTGTATTATCAAACCAACCTATCTGATTCATAATATGACCATTATCCTTCACAGAACCAATGTCACGTTCGCTTAAGGAGGAGGACCAATGCGCAGCGTTGAATGCGTACATATTATTTATTACACAGATCACCCGATCAAAACAACGAACGAAACGTGAAGTCCTTCGATACACACAATCCAAAAGGAACAAGAAACCACAACACAAAGTGAAAAGACCGATAGTTAAATATGGCTCCCAATCAGAGACAACCAGCTGACACTCGTTGCCTCTGATTGGGAGTCACTCAGGCCAACATAGATCTACAAAACATAGACTTACACACCCTGGCTCAACATAACATAGTCCCCAGAGCCAGGGCGTGACAGTACCCCCCCCCAAAGGCGCGGACTCCGGCCGCGCCAAACAACCACAACAGGGGAGGGACCGGGTGGGCACTCCGCCTCGGCGGCGGATCCGGCTCCGGACATGACCCAGGCACGGGTTGTGCTGGACTGACGACGCACACCCCTGGCTTGATGCGTGGAGGAGGAACGGGCCGGACCGGGCTGACGAAGCGCACCCCTGACTTGGTGCGGGGAGCAGGAATGAGCCGGACCGGGCTGACGACGCGCACCCCTGACCTGGTGCGGGGAGCTTGGATGGGCCGGACTGGGCTGGCGACGCGCACCACAGACTTGGTGCGGAGAGCAGGCACGGGCCGGACAGGGCTGACGAAACGCACCATAGACTTGGTGCGGAGAGCAGGCACGGGCCGTGCCGGACTGACGACGCACACCACTGGCTTGGTGCGGGAAGCTTGGATGGGCCGGACTGGGCTGGCGACGCGCACCACAGACTTGGTGCGGAGAGCAGGCACGGGCCGTGCCGGACTGACGACGCACACCACTGGCTTGGTGCGGGAAGCTTGGATGGGCCGGACTGGGCTGGTGACGCGCACCACAGACTTGGTGCGGAGAGCAGGAATGGGCCGGACCGGGCTGGCGACGCGCACCACCGACTTGGTACGGAGAGCAGGAACGGGCCGGACAGGGCTGACGACGCGCACCACAGGCTCGGTGCGAGAGGCAGGAACAGGCCGAACCGTACTGGGGACACACGCCACTGGCCCTATGCAGGGATCAGGAACGGGCCGGACCGGACTGGTAATACACCCCAGTACCTCTCGCCGTGCCTCCACACTTTCCCTCTCCTCTGTGACCAGTGGCCCCCTTAACCTGGCGGCCTCCTCTTCACACCCGCTGGACCGCTCCATCGCGGCCTCCTGCTGCCCCGTCGTCCACGTCGTGAGCCCCCCCCTAAAAATGTTCTGGGGTTCTCTCCTCCCCGTGGACCAGGCCTCCCTAGCTCTCGCCAGACTCTCGATCCATTGCTTCATAGACCAGCCTCTCTCCTCTTCGCTTAGCGTGGCCCAGCCGAAACTCCTACTCCCCTGATCCCAGGTCCTTCCTCTCTCCTCTTCACGCTGCTTGGTCCATTCTTGGTGGTTTCTTCTGTCACGTTCGCTTAAGGAGGAGGACCAATGCGCAGCGTTGAATGCGTACATATTATTTATTACACAGATCACCCGATCAAAACAACGAACGAAACGTGAAGTCCTTCGATACACACAAACCAAAAGGAACAAGAAACCACAACACAAAGTGAAAAGACCGATAGTTAAATATGGCTCCCAATCAGAGACAACCAGCTGACACTCGTTGCCTCTGATTGGGAGTCACTCAGGCCAACATAGATCTACAAAACATAGACTTACACACCCTGGCTCAACATAACATAGTCCCCAGAGCCAGGGCGTGACAACCAATATCTGGTGCTACCATAACAACTTCCCCAAATCCTCCAATCATCGAGGGGAATTCTGTCACCTTAACATGTGATGCTTCTGGCTCCATCATCAGCAGAGAGTGGATGATGGTTGGTCAGCCTCTGTATTCTGGTGACAATATCATCTTCTCTGAGAATAACAGAGTGCTGTTTATAAACTCTGCGAATAGAACAGACAGTGGAGAATACCTGTGTGGAGTCAGCAACCCTGTCAGCTCTAAAAATGCCAGTGACACTGTGAATGTAATCTGTAAGTACTTCCCTATAAGCCTGGGGATAAATGTACCAGATAAATGTATCAACTGTACCATCAATAGGTGCACATTAAAAAAATGTAACAATGAATGAACACAAACTTTACACCAACCATTATGACTCCAACGTCACACTGATTACAAACTAATACACTTGTAGCTATGACTAACAGGTGATCTCTGTGTTACAGATGGACCTGATGGTATGGAAATCAAGGGTCCAACTGAAATAGAAGTAGGACAGAAGTTTACATTGACCTGCTCTGCTGACTCCAACCCACCTGCCAACTACACCTGGATGCTCAATGGAACAGAGATACCTGGACATTCACCTGAGTTCCCTAAAGAGAAGAGTGAATACTCTGACAGTGGGGATTACACCTGTACAGCAACAAATGATGTCACTAGAATCAAAACATCTGAGGTTCATAAACTGTCAGTAAAAGGTAAAGTTACCTGAAGCTTTAAAGACAATAATTTACATAATAAATATATAGTTAAAGTTCTACTTATGAAGTTTTGCATTTCAAAGTTGTTTTCAACTAGGGTCTTTACATTTACATTTTAATCATTTAGCAGATGTCAAACATTTGCACTGTATTGTGTAGTACTGCTTGTTGTCTGTAGCCTTTCTCTCGTCTCTACATGATTCTCTCTCTGGTCTCTTCAGTGGAGGGCGCTTTATCACCAGATGGACTGTCTTCTGGTGCCATCGCTGGGATTGTGTTTGGAGGGTTGCTGGTTGTGGGAGTGGCAGTTGGTGTTTCAGTTCTTCATCAGGAAAAACGGGTGAGTTAAGAAACTTCCCTGCAGTTAGTAGAACATTTAGGCTCACTGTTCACATTGAACAAAACTGGTCACAAATATGACCTGTATGTATTTCAAAAGCACTGTAAACTGTTAAACGCACTGTAATATTATGTTATTTTAATTTTCTAAACAGTAACCTTTCATTGTTTATTTCTTGTTGCATTCAGAACCAATGCTGACCCAGTCCATCAAGGAGGTAACCGCATACTGTACTGTATATTAAATCTTACAGGCATATCTAACTACATAGCCGTGGGAAGTAGGGGTGCTGAGGGTGCTGCATCACCCCCTGAAAAATCAGAATAAATACAAAAAAATATTATATATTTTTTAATCACAAAAGTATTCCACTGGCCCTTTACTAGTATTAGCGGACCAATATAGATGTCGGTAGCGCCGGCAAAATTTTTTTTTCAGCATCTCTGCTTTGGCAGAAAAGGTAGTTTTATAATTAAGAACAGTATCTTGCAGGATTCAATAGTTGGAATTGTAAGAGTTGTTGCCCTGTCCCTTTCTCTGTGATTGTCATTCTAATGGAATCCAGAAAGAACAAAATCCTGTCCTCAAACATTTACATCAAAAAGGTACATCAAAAGGTGCAAAGTAATGGGCAAAGACACCAAACATCCACATCAAATTAAATATTCTTCTTGATCAAAAAACATGGAAAACAACCACTTTTTGTGAAGTATTAATTTACCATGCTTACGAACCACTTAATGTAAATGTACATTACTGTATTGTACATAGCCTGGTCATCGAAGTTTGTACGTGTAGACTTTCCATCACCATGAAGAAAAACAATGCACAGTAATTGAGTACATTGAGACGTTTACATTTACATTTACGTCATTTAGCAGATGCTCTTATCCAGAGCGACTTACAAATTGGTGCATTCACCTTATGATAGCCAGTGGGACAACCACTTTACAAATTGTTTTTTTTATGGTGCGGAAACAGATTCTCACCACGCCACCTGGTAGGAGCGACCTGTCAGGTAGGACGCAATCCAAGAGTGAGCCGCGCCGGAGATGCCCAACTCGGAGAGGGTGGAGAGGAGGATCTGATGGTTCACAGTATCAAAGGCAGCAGATAGGTCTAGAAGGATGAGAGCAGAGGAGAGAGAGTTAGCTTTAGCAGTGTGGAGAGTCTCCGTGACACAGAGAAGAGCAGTCTCAGTTGAATGACCAGTCTTGAAACCTGACTGGTTTGGATCAAGAAGGTCATTCTGAGAGAGATAGCAGGAGAGTTGGCTATAGACGGCACACTCAAGAGTTTTGGAGAGAAAAGAAAGAAGGGATACTGGTCTGTAGTTGTTGACATCGGAGGGATCGAGTGTAGGTTTTTTGAGGAGGGGTGCAACTCTCGCTTTCTTGAAGATGGAAGGGACATAGCCAGCGGACAGGATGAGTTGATGAGTGAGATGAGGTTAGGGAGAAGGTCTCCGGAAATGGTCTGGAGAAGAGAGGAGGGGATAGGGTCAAGCGGGCAGGTTGTTGGGCGGCCGGCCGTCACAAGTCGCAAGATTTCATCTGGAGAGAGAGGGGAGAAAGAAGTCAAAGCATAGGGTAGGGCAGTGTGAGCAGGACCAGCGGTGTCATTTGACTTATTAAATGAGGATCGGATGTCGTCAACCTTCTTTTCAAAATGGTTGACGAAGTCATCCACAGAGAGGGAGGAGGGAGGGGGAGGAGGAGGATTCAGCAGGGAGGAGAAGGTGGCAAAGAGCTTCCTAGGGTTAGAGGCAGAGGCTTGAAATATAGAGTGGTAGAAAGTGGCTTTAGCAGCAGAAAAGGAGGAAGAGAATGTAGAGAGGAGGGAGTGGAAAGATGACAGGTCCGCAGGGAGTCTAGTTTTCCTCCATTTCCGCTCGGCTGCCGGGAGCCCTGTTCTGTGAGCTCGCAATGAATCGTCAAGCCAAGGAGCAGGAGGGGAGGACCGAGCCGGCCGGGAGGATAGGGGACATAGAGAGTCAAAAGATTCAGAGAGGGAGGAGGGTTGAGGAGGCAGAATCAGGAGATTGGAGGGAGAAGGATTTAGCAGAGGGAAGAGATGATAGGATGGAAGAGGAGAGAGTAGCGGGAGAGAGAGAGCGAAGGTTGCGACGGATTAGTAGAAGAACAGCATCTAGTAAAGATGAGTTCAAGCATATTGCCTGCCTTGTGAGTAGGGGGGGACGGTGTGAGGGTGAGGTCAAAAGAGGAAAGGAGTGGAAAGAAGGAGGCAGAGAGAAATGAGTCAAAGGTATATGTAGGGAGGTTAAAGTCACCCAGAACTGTGAGCCATCCTCAGGAAAGGAACTTATCAAGGCGTCAAGCTCATTGATGAACTCTCCAAGGGAATCAAAGGACATCAACTGGTTTGTGATGATGTGATGTGATGATATGGCTCAGTTGGTAGAGCATGTCGCTTGCAGTGCTAGGGTTGTGGGTTTGATTCCCTCGGGGGACCAGTATGAAAATGTATGCACTCACTGCTGTAGGTTGCTCTGGTTAAGAGCATCTACTAAAAGGAATGAATAGATCATTTCAGTTTTCACATAAAATAAGTTGCCTTTGCAAAGTATTTCATGAAACTAGAAAATATATATCAAGCAAGTATTTTTATATTCCACAGGTATTATTAGATTAACTGTTTTGTACAGATAATTATCAGACTCAAGTTACAAATGCTGGTAAAAACTCAAAAACATTTTATTTATTTTTTATCACAAAAGTAGTGCACTGGGCATTTACTAGTCCTGTATTAGCGGACGAATATAGACCTTTCAGCACGGGCACCATTTTTTATTCTGTACCCCTGCCCCAAACTACTTCCCTATGTCTAATAATATATATATACACTGCTCAAAAAAATAAAGGGAACACTTAAACAACACAATGTAACTCCAAGTCAATCACACTTCTGTGAAATCAAACTGTCCACTTAGGAAGCAACACTGATTGACAATACATTTCACATGCTGTTGTGCAAATGGAATAGACAACAGGTGGAAATTATAGGCAATTAGCAAGACACCCCCAATAAAGGAATGGTTTTGAGATGGTGACCACAGACCACTTCTCAGTTCCTATGCTTACTGGCTGATGTTTTGGTCACTTTTGAATGCTGGTGGTGCTTTCACTCTAGTGGTAGCATGAGACGGAGTTTACAACCCACACAAGTGGCTCAGGTAGTGCAGCTCATCCAGGATGGCACATCAATGCGAGCTGTGGCAAGAAGGTTTGCTGTGTCTGTCAGCGTAGTGTCCAGAGCATGGAGGCGCTACCAGGAGACAGGCCAGTACATCAGGAGACGTGGAGGAGGCCGTAGGAGGGCAACAACCCAGCAGCAGGACTGCTACCTCCGCCTTTGTGCAAGGAGGAGCAGGAGGAGCACTGCCAGAGCCCTGCAAAATGACCTCCAGCAGGCCACAAATGTACATGTGTCTGCTCAAACGGTCAGGAACAGACTCCATGAGGGTGGTATGAGGGCCCGACGTCCACAGGTGGGGATTGTGCTTACAGCCCAACACCGTGCAGGACGTTTGGCATTTGCCAGAGAACACCAAGATTGGCAAATTCGCCACTGGCGCCCTGTGCTCTTCACAGATGAAAGCAGGTTCACACTGAGCACATGTGACAGACGTGACAGAGTCTGGAGATGCCGTGGAGAACGTTCTGCTGCCTGCAACATCCTCCAGCATGACCGGTTTGGCGGTGGGTCAGTCATGATGTGGGGTGGCATTTCTTTGGGGGGCCGCACAGCCCTCCATGTGCTCGCCAGAGGTAGCCTGACTGCCATTAGGTACCGAGATGAGATCCTCAGACCCCTTGTGAGACCATATGCTTGTGCGGTTGGCCCTGGGTTCCTCCTAATGCAAGACAATGCTAGACCTCATGTGGCTGGAGTGTGTCAGCAGTTCCTGCAAGAGGAAGGCATTGATGCTATGGACTGGCACGCCCGTTCCCCAGACCTGAATCCAATTGAGCACATCTGGGACATCATGTCTCGCTCCATCCACCAACGCCACGTTGCACCACAGACTGTCCAGGAGTTGGCGGATGCTTTAGTCCAGGTCTGGGAAGAGATCCCTCAGGAGACCATCCGCCACCTCATCAGGAGCATGCCCAGGCGTTGTAGGGAGGTCATACAGGCACGTGGAGGCCACACACACTACTGAGCCTCATTTTGACTTGTTTAAGGACATTACATCAAAGTTGGATCAGCCTGTAGTGTGGTTTTCCACTTTAATTTTGAGGGTGACTCCAAATCCAGTGTGATTTTGTTGTCAGCACATTC